TTACATGCTGCTGGAGCGCAGCAGGCTGGAGTCAGAGCAGGGCCAAAGAGTTATTATATTTACTGCAGACAAGGAGCTTTAAAATATGCCATTCATTTCAGTGTCATCTGGTCAGTTTGCGCAGGCTCCACCGGAAGTACGCAAAATGGAGGCTGCCATCTTTAAGGGTGTGTTCACACTTGTAGTTCGGTTCGTTTGGTCCGGACCAAAAAGGAAAATGATACAGCGGAATAAAATTATATGTACACACAAGAATGAGCGCGCTTAGTCCAGCAGATGGCATTAGGTGTGTTCGACTTAAAGCGGCGCTGAGCAGACCGATCGGTTAATGGATGCTTTGATATCATACACCTGCAGCGCCGTTTTAAGTCAACGCACCTTTTGTTTGAAGTGTTCGGTGAGTTCCGTCACGATATACGTCATTCAAGCCGACCAATCAGGTTGTGAACGTATCACTATGCCTTTCGGTGTCTTTAGGTTCGCTGTCAAAAATGCCAATGTGAACGCTAAGCGGACCAGGTCCAAATGTATCATTTTCCTTTTTGGTCTGGACCAAATGAATCAAACGAACCGAACTACAAGTGTGAACACACCCTAAGACACTCAGTTCTGGGATTGGATCTTTTGCCAGCTTAAAAAAATTATTAAAAATGTATTATTAAAATTATCACTTGGTGAATTGTTATGAATTATAACCTCATAAATTAATATTTTACAGATTTAACAGTGATCAGTGAAGCACCATAAGTCAATAGTGTATATATTTTATGTATTGTCTACTGATTAGTAAGTTGGATAGCTGACATGTTACTGTCAGTGTTGAGTAGTACCAAATAGCCTTTCCTGACTTGCTGGTTAAATACGTACAGTTCACAATAAAAGAATCGTTGTTTTCGCTAAAGAGCACATAAAATTTGTGGTGGGAGAAGCATGTCTTGTTGCTATGCCGAAGACATCTGCTGGTTGAAGTTGTGCAAATACAATGAGAACACAAAATTAAAATAGTAGGCTATTTAACTTTAGTAGTATTTTATCACTTTGTAGCCCTTATTTCTTTTTTTATTTATTTTTATTTAGTCATTTATCTGACGCTTTTATCCAAAGCGACTTACAAATGAGGACAACAGAAGCAATCAATTGTAGTATTAAAACAACTGAAAACAAATCCAAAACTAAAAGCTAAAACTTTATAAATACTACCTATACACATTTAAAAAATAAAGAGATTAAATAAAAATGACAAATGCATACAACAAAATTTCAAAACTTAACATTTAAATGAAAAACAAAAATAAAGCTAAAAACAATTCAAAATAGTAAAGAACAAAAGGTATAAGAGTATAAAAAAATTTAAATAACTCAAATTAAATAAAACTAAA